AAACAGCACTTTCATAATGATTATAAAAGTCTGTGCGCTACACTACATTCTTTATTATTAAACTAAGTCATTAGAACAACAACAGTCTACATTAATCGACACATTCTTAGGAAATAGTGGGTTCACAGCGAATTATCAGATGCAAAATGGAAAAGCAGCAAATAAATATATATAAAAAAATGTTCATACACAGCTTGAGTAGCAAGATTGTGTTCAGTTTTAACTTTCTTCCATTTTGTATTTTTGGGCAAGAATAAGAAGCACTTCATCCGGTACTCAGTGTCTTTCATTCCAACATAAGAAAACATTTCTGGAATCTGCATCTGACATAGCATTTAGATATATTTACACAGTTTATGTATCACAGAGGCGACATGGATGCATTTAAACTGCAGTTACAGATGCATAAATAGGCCTAATGTTTTGGTTTTAACAAAACGTTGAATACTGATATTTGAAAATTTAAAACATGAAAAAAAGTTGAAATGTGAAATTAAAACCGCTAGTAGGTAACAGCAAGTGATTGTTAATGAGTGAGTCATTGAGATTCAACCGATTCAATCAAACGGCTGATTCATTCAGAAACAAAGCATTTGGCTGTGTTAATGAGTGAATCACGGAATCATTTATTCAACCGATTCGTTCAAAAAGCTGATTCATTCAATAAGTAAACACCATTGCTCAGGGACGCAAAACAGTGCTGTGATCTGTGTTAGGAACTATTTCGTTAGCAAAATTGAGCAAAAACAGGCAAAAATCACGTGGGTGCACTCTGTGTGAGATTTGGTGATATAGCCTACTTGATAATGTCAGATCGCACATCATTACAACAACACTTACCACATTAATCGCAGACGATGCGGTATCGCACAGCACACCCTAGCCTCGACTTGAGTGGAAAATGAATCATCCGCGGTTGTGCGCGCACTTGTTTGCACATGAGCAAAGGTGTTTTTTAGGAGTCTAACTTGCAGACGTCAGACCACTGATTCGTTAAACCTGCTTTCCTGCAGTCTGTGTTCTTCTGACTTCTGACTATTTTGTAGTAAGTTGTTACAGTACACCACTGGTCAGTATTAGGTCCGTGCATTTTGTCTTAAAGGAAACATATTATGCTCCTTTTTCAAATATGTAATATAAGAATCTGGTGTCCCCAGAATGTGTCTGTGAAGTTTCAGCTCAAAATACCCCACAGATCATTTATTATATCATTTTGAAAATGCCTATATTGAGTGGAAGCAGAAACACATTGTTTTTCGTGCCTGTCTCTTTAAATGCAAATGAGCAGCTGCTCCCCGCCCCTTTTTCCAGAATAGAGCTGCGCCATTACAGCTCGGACCTGCTAAAAACATCTGTTTTGGTTAAGATTAT